AATCACGTCCCTCTTCGTTGTGATAATACTAGCGCCATAAGCTTGACGAAGAACCCCGTTCTTCACTCAAGGACGAAACACATTGACATTAGGCATCATTTCATTAGAGATCATGTTCTCAAAGGTGATGTCGAAATTGAGTTTGTTGAAACACACAACCAATTAGCCGACATTTTCACAAAACCTTTAGAGAAAGAGTTGTTCTTCTGCATTCGAAGTGAACTCGGAATCCTTGACTCCACGATGATCTAAGTTGTGCATCTAAATTTTTTAAACATTTACTAACTTGAGCGTCGGAGAACTTTTTCTTTTTTGCAGGTACCCCGTTCATGAAATCAGGGGGAACCATGCAAAGAGCGCTGTACAGGAGACACAATAGCGCTGTTGAGGGAAACACCGTCAGCCAGAAAGTTTTCCAACAGCGCTGTACAACAAGCCAACAGCGCTGTCCCAGGGAGTCCCTTAAATCTTCACTTTCCTGAAACTTTTTGAACATCGATGTACCCTTTTAAACATCGCTGTCTTCTCAAAACATTTTGTTTTCAACCAAAACCAGAAACTTTTGAAACAGCGATGTCTTACCTTCAACATCGATGTCCACTTTTACAAATTTTTTCCTCTATCGCAAAACAGCGATGTAGAGAAACCCAACAGCGCTGTTCTAATGGGTTCACACCCTTACACAATTCCAGAAACTTTTGGAACATCGCTGTAGGGTACCCAACATCGCTGTCCTTTTGACTCCTGTTTTTTTAAAACATGACGCAGAACAGCGCTGTACAAGGAACAGCAGCGCTGTCCCAACAGCGATGTCGCCTGTAGAACATCGCTGTTCTGGTCAAAATTTTCAAAAAAAAATCCGTTGGCAGCAGCATTAACTTCTCCAACAGCCATATTTTTGAAAATCAAGACGTTGGAGACCACCTTTTTTGGACCCCCTCTCCTCACTTTTACACACACAAACACAAATTCCTTCAATATCTTCACATATTTTATCCTCTCTACTCTAATTTTTTTGAGATTTCTTCACCATGGGAAAAGACAAGAGCCAGGCTGCCACCTCTGGGAAATCAAAGTCCAAATCCCGGGCGCCTACGTCATCCTCCGAGGAGCGCCTCTACTATGGCGACGGGACATACCTTTGGTTTGATTCCGAGGAGGAGCGCACCCGTTTCCTCACCTTCTTCTCTAAACGGGTTGTGGCTCCCCCACGGATCATCCCGGAGCACTACCCAGAGCTGCAGGGCTACGACGACCTTGACGCACAGCTTCATCAAGCCGGCCTTTGGCCGTTCGTCTCCCGGGCGCGAAAGGAGATCAACCCGGCGCTGATCCGGGCCTTCTACTCCAACCTCTGGCGTGAGGACGACGTGCTCTACTTGCTCGTCAAGAGCACGCCGATCGAGCTTACCGTGGAGCAGCTTGGGCGCATCGCCAGCCTCCCCTTCCAAGGCGACGATGTGTCTCACTATGGTGGAGAGCATTGGGTGCTCAACAACGAGGGCCTTATCCTCAACGAGCTTGACATCACCGAGCTCAAACGCCATGCCTCTGGCCGCCCAACCATCCACTTCGCCAACCCCGAAGGCCGTCTCCTTCTCTACATCGTCTCCCGGATCATCAAACCCAGGAAGCACGGCCACACCATCATGCACGGTGAAGACCTCAAGCTCATCCATGCGATCATGCATTCGGCCCCAATCAATTGGGCAAAGTTTGTCATGATCAACATGACGATTGCCGCGTCCACCGAGCACGACCATCTCCTCCCGTACCCGTTTTTGGTGATGGACATCCTTGAACGGTTCAAGGTAACCACCACCGTTGGCCCGCTCACGAAGGCCACGAAGATTTGGACAAACAGCAACCAAACCTTCATCAAGCGGTCGGACAACGCCGCGACTGCCACTGCCGCGCCACGCCGCACTGCCACTACCGCTGGCCCAGCCGAACCCCTGGCCCAAGCCAACCTCGGCTCCATCGCCGACTCCCTCAACCGGCTCCACCTCAAGGTTGACGGGATGGGGAGCTACCTTGAACGGCTCGACGTGGCGGTTCAACGCCAAGGGTACCCCATGAACGCGTACTTCCAAGGCATCAACTACGTCCCCCCACCGTACCACGGCACGTTCCTTGGGCAAGTGTACGGTGACGAGGACGAAGCCGATGACTCCTACGCCCCGTCAAGCTCCCCGGATGAAGAAGAGTTCGACGATGCCATCGATGGGGATGAGATGGACGTCGACGACGACGAGGAGGAAACGGAAGACGAAGACTAGGACTCCCCTAGAATTCCTATCTCTTTTACTCTCTTGTTTTTTTTCTTATGCTTCCGTTGTACTCCGCTATTTCCCTTTATTAAATAAAATCATCTTGTTTATCTTTTTGTTAATGTCAAAAGGGGGAAGAAAAGGGCTATGCATATACTAAGGGGGAACGCCTCTATAAACGAGACCGTTTGACTTTAATCCAACAATTTTTTTAAGCACAAATTAAGGGGGAACTTTTTCACAACCTTTTGAAAAACAAATATCCCTTAGTATGCATATCCCCGTCTTGTTTGCCATTATCAAAAAGGGGGAAATTGTTGGAACACGAGTTTACGCCTACGTCGTACTAAACTGTGTTCGTTTTTATAACAGGTTTTGATAATGCCAAACCGCCGCGACATATCAAAGCTAAAGTGAGCAAAACTAAGGCGAAGGAACATGGCATGATGATTTGAGAACCAAGAACCCAGAATCAAGAACGAAGAATTAGAATTGCATTGAGTCGGTCTTAATGTGATCAAGACTGGCACAAAGTTCCAAATCTTGGCTCTCTAGGCTCAATTCATAAAAATCTCTTTTGCATATTCAAAAATATTTTTCTTAAGTTTTAAACTTGGCTAAAAACACTTGGAGTTCGCCCAAACCAAAAACCAAGCCATCCGGCGTTCGGTTTTCAGAAACCGGCGTTCAGCTCTCGGTTTTCGGCATCGGTTTTTGGCGTCCGAACCAACCAAGTGGTTTTCAACCTTTTATGACTGGTTTTTACTTCTGGGCATATTTAAATAGTTCTCCAACAAAAACTCCTCAAAAACCACCTTCCATTTTTGGTCGTTTAGTGAAAACCATGCGAAACGGCGCGAACTTGACTAGCCGTGGTTTTCAACTAAATGACGTGGTTTTTAAGATGTTTTACTTGATTTCTTAGCAAAATGCAATAAACAAATGTTTTCTAAACTTGGTTTTTATTTTGGAGAACTTAGCGTTTTTGACATCGGCTAACGGCGTGACTAAACCAACCATGGGTCTGGCTAAACCAGCCCAACAGCGATGTTGAGGTAATCAACAGCGCTGTCTGGCCTGGGTAGCTAAAGACATGGTTTGGCGTTAAGTCTTCCAACAGCGATGTTGGACACTAGACATCGCTGTTGAGCCAAGGTTGGATTTCCAGAAACTTCTGGAACAGCGATGTAGGCTTCCGTACAGCGTTGTCCAACCTAAGCCAAAAATATAGTGCATTGGCAGAAAGTTTTTGGACAGCGATGTTGACCCAGCAACAGCGCTGTCAGGCCAAACTTCCATCTTCAAAGGCAGACCTAAACAGCGATGTTCTAGTATGGAACATCGATGTAGAGACCTGACCGTTGGAAGGAATTTAAGGATAAAACTTTCGTTGTTTGGAAGTCAACAGCCAAAACAGCGATGTAGGGATTTTAGACATCGCTGTTGGCATGACCGTTGCTTCCCATTTTTCAAAACTCAAGCCTAGAACAGCGATGTCCAAGCCTATGACAGCGCTGTCTGGGTGAATTTCAGCAGATCCAAATTTTATCAAATCCCACAAATTGCGCCAATCACCCCTTAAATACTTTGGCCCGTTGGAGCCTATTTTTCTACTATAAAATGGGGTGTTTGGGTCTGTTTTACACATCACATTACTTCACAACTCCTACTCTTTCATTGCAAATCATTCTTCAATTACTCATAGCTTTTGAGAGCCATTTTTGTGAAGCTTGTGTTGTGTTCTTGAGCGTTCTTAGTTTACTTATTATCCACTCTAAAAGAGAGTATTGTTCTTGAGTGTTTTTAGTGTTCTTAGACACTTGACAAGAGAAGGTATTTCTCTTATATTCGAAGGAAGGGCTGTTTCCTTTGAAGGTTTGTTGAGGTTCGTGTGACTCGAATTCTCAAGTTGTATGGGTTTGTTAAGCACCGTTAAGCTTAACGAGATAGTAGTGTAGCTCGAGAGAGTCTCTCGGGAGGCTGGATTAGCCACAAGTTGTGGTGAACCAGGGTAAAATCGGTGTGCCTCTTTCTTTTCTCTTTACTTCTCGTTTATTCATTTTTATTCCTGCGATTTCTTGATTAAACGCTATTCACCCCCCCCTCTAGCGTTGGTCTTTTATTCTAACAGAGAGCAGCTCCGGGAATTCATCAATAGGTGGGAGAAGGAGGCCAGAGACGTCTAAGGAGCAGACGACCAAGCCCTTATTGCTATGCTCCAAGCTGCACTCCCCCAAGGGGATGTGCGCAAGGAGCTGCGGCGGAATCCGCTCTCGACCTATCAGGAGATGTTGGCCAGGGCGAAGTACCTGGCGTTGGAAGAAGAAGACGATGAGCAACCAGTCCGGAAGGAGAAGAAAAGCGGGCCACCGGTGGCAGAAGGAAAGAAAAGGAAGGATTATGGAAAGGGGCCGAACCCCACCAGATATCATGCGAACAGACATCCAGTTCATGCGGTGTAGTCGTTGCCTGCCCCTCCTCACAGCCGGGAAAGCTATGGTGTGCAAGATGCACCCAAATACTGCGAGAACCACCGTAACAGCACCCACAACACGTCGGAGTGCGTTACGTTAAAAAAGGAGATGGATCAGTTGATCGCCAGGGGGCCGCCTCCTCGGTCGGAGCGACCATCCTCAAGTAACCGGACCTGGAGGAGACCGGTAGCCCCCACCGCGGCGATCACGGCAGGAGAAGGGCAGGAGGACGGACGACGACATCTGGGGAGAGATTGTGACGACCTGGATGAAGAAGAAAGACAGGGCCGCCAACACCTAGGGTGTCGATTCATCATGGGAGGAATTACCGGAGGAGATTCGGTGTCCTCACGGAAGAAGTGGAGAAACATGGTGCACCTGGCCGAGGTGCAAAGGCCGCCGCTACCCAAGCGGAAGAAGAAGGAACCCCTGGTCTTCACGGATGAGGATTACCCACCAGTCCTCAGCCTCCACAGGGATGCGCTGGTGATAAAGGTGGAGATCAATAATGTGGTCGTCCACCGTACATTGGTTTCAGTCAACATTATGTACAGCAACACTTTCAAGGAGCTAGGGTTGTCCCGGAGCGACTTAAAGCCAATCCGTACCCCACTGTCAGGATTCACGGGAGACACCATTGAAGTAGAAGGAACAATCACGGTGAAAGCCGGGGTGGGAGATGGCACCCACCGACTCTGGCTCGATATGGAGTTCATTGTAGTGTACCTTGACTATGCACACCATTTGATTCTGGGGAGACCAGGGTTGGAGGACTTGGAGTGCGTAATCTCCCCCGCCCATCTGTTCTTGAAATTTAACACCCCCACAGGGGTAGGAGTGGCTAAGGGGAACCAGAGCTTGTCTCGATCATGCTACGTCAGGGCGACCAAAGGCCAGGCACGGGTCGACGAGAATGTGAGCACGATCTGTGCTGCAATCTAGAAGGAAGAAGGGCGACCTCGGGCCGAGTCGGCGGACGAAATTGAAGAAGTCACCTTGGATCCGGCCAAGCCAGAGCAAAAGGTGAAGGTAGGTAAGACTTTACCGCCTAGGTTTAAGGAGCAACTGCTGGAGGTCCTTCAGGCTTTCAAAGTGCTATTCGCTTGGGGCCCAGAGGACATGCCGGGGGTCGACCCGAAGATCATCTGCCAAAGGTTGGTAGTAGACCCGGCCTACAAGCCAGTCAAGCAGAAGAAACGTTTCCTTTCTTCAGAACAAATAGAGTTTGTCACCGAGCAGGTGACAACCCTACAGTCCATTGGGCACATCCGGGAAGTCCACTACCCGGAATGGTTGGCGAATGTACTCCTCGCACCCAAAGGGAATACCTGGCGGATGTGCGTCGATTACACCGACCTAAATAAAGCCTGCCCAATGGATCCTTTCCCTCTCCCCAACATTGATCAGTTGGTTGATGAGACGGCAGGGTGTGAGCTGACGAGCTTTATGGATGCATTTAGCGGATACCATCAGATCAAGATGGCTGCAGCGGATGAAGAGAAGACCGCTTTCATTACCCCTAATGGAGTGTACTGTTACATGGTAATGCCTTTCGGCTTGAAGAATGCTGGCGCGACCTACGCACGGATGGTCAACAAACTGTTCGCGTCGGTCTTGGGGGGATGTATGGAGGCGTATGTGGATGATATGATCGTCAAGTCCAAGCAGATGGGATCCCATGCCCAAGATCTGGAAAGGGTTTTTAAGATCATGAAGAAGTTCCAGCTCCGCCTTAATCCTAAGAAGTGTACATTCGGGGTCCGGGGGGGCAAGTTTCTAGGACATATGGTGAGCCGAAGAGGGATTAGCCTAATCCGGAGAAGGTGAAGGCAATTTTGGAGATGGAACCTCCGCAGAATGTGAAGGAGGTCCAGCAACTTACAAGGAGGATCCCTGCTCTCAGTCGCTTCTTATCGAAGATAGCTGATCGAGCGGCACCCTTCTTCCAGACCATCAAGAAAAATAAAGGGTTTGTCTGGACCGAAGAATGCCAACGGTCCTTTGAAGGGTTGAAGGCATACCTCCTTCCCCCCCTAGTACTTTCGAAGCCAGAGCCCGGAGAGACCCTATTNGGGGGGCAGAGCTGAGATATACAAACATGGAAAAAACCATCTTCGCGGTGGTATGTACGGTGAAGAAGCTCACCCCATATTTTCAAGCCCACCCGGTCCATGTGTTATCTCAAATTCCTATCGGGACACTTCTTCGAAGCCCAAATGCCCCGTCGCGGGTCAGCAAGTGGGGAGTGTTCCTGGGATCTTTTCAGATAGAGTTTAAGCCACGACCAACGATAAAGCGGCAGGCCTTGGCAGACTTCGTGGTGGAATGCACGGCAAGGGAGATGGAGTCTGGCGGAGAAGAACCTGAGGGGAACTGGTGGACTATGTACACTGATGGCTCGTCCGCGACTGATGCTTCAGGGGGAGGTGTCGTGGCAATATCACTGGAAGGGTTCAAAGCATACTACTCCGTAAGGTTCCGGTTCAAGGTCTCGAACAATGAGGCTGAGTATGAGGCGCTGCTTTATGGTTTGAGGCTGGCAGCATCGTTAAAGGCTGAACGAATCCAGGTCCGGTGCGATTCCAAACTGATAGTAGGCCATGTCACCGGAGAGTTTGAGGCCAAGGATGAGCGAATGAAGAAGTATAGAGACACTGCCCTGGAGTTGCTTAAAGCGTTTGGAGCGTACTGGATAGAGCAAGTCCCTCGAGAAGAGAATGCCGAGGCGGACATCTTGTCAAAGCTTGGTCCGGATTCCCCAGATCATATTAAGGCAATGACCCAGGAAGAAGAGTTGCTCGAGCCAAGCATCAGTCCCGGACAAGTGCTGGTCGTTACGCTCAAAGAGCCAGATTGGATCGATGAAATTACCATGTACATCCTTGAAATTACCTGCCGACCTAATCGCGGCAAAGGTGGTAAGACGCCGTGCACCTAGCTACACGCTGGAGTGCGGTCGGCTGTACAAGCGGTCGTACAATGGTACATTATTAAGATGCCTAAGGAGGGACGAGGTGCAGAAACTAATGGAGGAAATCCATGAAGGGATATGCTCGGCACACCATGGAGCTTTCACAATGTCCAGGAAGGTGACTTTGCAAGGGTATTTCTGGCCAACAATCATCAGAGATTGCGCGGAATACGTGCGTAAGTGCGAGGTCTGCCAGGAGTTTCAAAAGGTGCCAGGGCAACCAGCAACGAATTATACCCCGATCAGCACGGCGATTCCCTTTGCTCGGTGGGGTATGGATCTAGTCGGCATTTTGCCCAGGGGGACAGGGAACAACACATGCCTGGTGGTCGCGATCGACTACTTTACCAAGTGGGTCGAGGTTGCCCCCGTGCCGACCATCACGGAAGAACAGATGAGGAAGTTTGTGTCCAAGCAAATCTTGTGCCGATTTGGGGTACCCCAGCAGATCATGACCGACAATGGAACCCAGTTCGAGGCTAGGGGTTCAATGAGTTTCTACAGAGCTGGGGCATAAAACACAGCTATGCGGCGGTCGGGTACCCCCAAACCAATGGGCAGGTCGAGAACACTAATCGTACCATCGTGGATGGCCTGAAAAAGAAGATAATGGAATGTAAAAGCGCCTGGGTGGAGGAATTGCCTTACATCTTGTGGACCTACAGAACTATCCCGAGGAAGGCCACGGGTGAAACTCCGTTCTCGCTCACATATGGGTTTGAAGCAAGGGCTCCAGCGGAGACCTCGCTGTTGAGTTATAGAGTGGAGACATTTGACACCCGGGAGAATGAAGAAAACTTAAGGGTAGAACTGCACCTCATTGATGAGCGAAGAGAAAGGGCGTACATACGGGCGGAGAACTACCGTCGGCAAGTCAAGTCGTATCACGACCAACGGGTGCGCCCAAGGCAGTTCAGAGTAGGCGATTGGGTCCTTAGGAAAAGGGATCGGCCGACCGACGGAGGGAAGTTCGCTAAGAGTTTCGAAGGGCCATACATCATAAAGGAGGCGTTGGCCGATGGGACGTTTAGACTGCAAACACTAGCTGGAGGCGACGTTCCGCGAGTATGGAATGCCGCCAACCTTATTAAATTTTATCAATAGATTGTATTTCCCTCTTAAAGTTTAATAAAACCAGCATTCTGGCATATCTTTATCCCTATTCTCAAAAAAAAAGAGCGACCAAAGAGATCGCTAGCCTAAGCTATATGGTGATTCGCACTAAGACACCCAACAGGGGATGAAGTGTCGAACCCTGTCAAGCGACCAAGATTGAAGGCGGTCAAGCGACGCGACTAACTAGAGGGTGACGCCGTGGCGAGAAAGCCTAAGAAAACGGCTAAGTCCGGAGCATAAAATCTGCTGATCGCATGAGCAACCAGCGGACCTTGGAAGTATGGCGACGTCATAAGGGTTAAAATAACCCGAAAATGGCTAAGTCAAAAGAGGCGAGGTATTCTCTAATCAAGGTTTGAGAAAACCTAAGCGCTCAAAATGAGATGCGAAAGAGAAGAAGATGGAACTTGTAAGTAAACAGGTAACATCAAAGTACATTTATGAAAATGTTTATTACATTTCAAGGATAATCTCTTGCGCCTACACATACAATACAGTTGAGAACAATCTCTACATACTTCCAAAAGGAGGGATATTTTCCCATACACTTCTCACAAAAAAATAAGGAAAAAGAAAATTTAGAATTTTGCGCAGCTGAAGCCTGGAAAGGATGAAGGATCCAGGGGAAAAGGCAAGGTTGAAGGGTAGTTCTGCGGCCATATAGGCCGATAGAACTCCGATCACCGGCCGTCCAGAGCGACCACCTTTCTTCTCCATCATGGAACAGGAGTGGTCGCCCCTAACCGCGGTAAAAACCCACCGTCCTTCTCCTGCAAAGAAAGGACAGGAGGCGACTCACTTTTCTGTGAGCCCCAATCAGCATCACCTTGAGGAGGAAGCAGACCTTGAGGCTGGGCGAGCTACCCCAGATCGCCTAGAAGCCCTCAAGGGAGGAGAGCGGCCAGCTGGGCGAGGCAGGGAAGAACCCAGTTCTTCCCCCACCACAACCTCGTCCTTAAGTCTCACCGGGGAGCTGGTGCGACTTTCATTGGTCCATCTCTCTAAACTCGCTTAATATGCGCTCTCATGCTTTAAGAGGGGTAAGTGCTCATCGTGAAAGCTCTCCCAGGCCATGCATTGCAGCGAGTGGAGGGGGCATGGGGCACCCAGTCAATCCGCCCGTCAGGCAGACAGGTTGCAGAGAGAGCCTTGTACGCCTCGCTGAAATCATCATAAGGGTTTGGGGGAATCGGCGGCGGTTTCACCGATGGCCATTGCCGGCGAGGCAACCGGCGGCAGAATTCGTAAGGGTCTAGCCCCCCCAGTCATTGGAATCGGCTGACTTGGGGGAGGAGGCAGGCTCCGGCGAAGAAGGAGCCGGCCTGTCGGAACAATTCAGAGAAATAGGGAATCCTTCAGACATGACAAAAATGGAGAAAGGGGAAATATTTACTAATGGAACAAAACGAAGGCCAGGGGGCTTATAAATAAGCCCAGGTGAAGAAACCGAAGAGACGGTCAAGTCCCAAGGCAGCTGAACCGATAAAGCAGCCTTGAGCCGCGCGAAGGTCCAATCAGAGACTACAAGGGGCATTGGGTCAGTTGGGCGGCACGCTGGCCAATCCTAAGGTTGGGCCTGGTCGTGTAATTGGGCCGGGGCCGAAAGTTGGGCCCAAACAAAAAAACGTCCATGTTAGCCAGCTAAGCTAAAGAAGAAAGTACTGAAGTAAAACGCAGGAAAAGGGAAGTACATGGTAAACCCAACAAGTCAGACAACATAGGAGCATTGTATCAAAACGACAAATCATTCCAAAAAATCACAAGTGTTTACAAAACTGAGGGAGAACAACAGGGGAGGTTGGACGCCCGAGCTAGGGTTTTCACCCGCCTTGGATGTAGCTAAGTTGGCCCCTGGATTCTGGTCGCCATGTCCATCTTCCTCTTCCTCTTCTTCTTCTCCTTCAAAAGCGCTTGAGCTCCCTCCGTCCAAGTAAGGACTGGGGTCGAACTCGGCCAAGGAGCGACAGGGAGGGGGAAAGCCAAGGTCGGGGAGAGAGAATCCTTTGGGGAGCTGAGCTAGCCTGTCACGGAAGATCTGTTGGGTGCGAAAGAGTCCACAGTTGAAGGACTTGGTCCCCTCATTGACCATCCATTGAGCCCCAGGTCCGGTTTTGAGTCATTCGGCTGTCAGCTTGTCCATCTGCTCCTGAGGGACCATTGTAAAATCAGGAGAGAACTTAAAGGATTCGACCGTTTCCTCTGCGTGGCGGACCCGGTCGCTCCTCTCCACCTCCAACTGCTGGATCAGGTCGGACTTCTCCCCTTCCAGCTCTACCAAGCGAGCAGAAACAGCTTCTACCTCTGAGGACAAGGACGCCTTATCCGCCTCAAGGGCGACGCAGCGGTCCACTTGGGAGGCTTTCTCTGCCACCAGAGCAGCACAACGACTCTCTTTCTCCTCCAGCTCCCTTGTGAGGCGAGCGACCTCTTCCTGTAACTCCTTCTGCTTGGCCTCCGCTGCTTTCATCGCTTCATCCAAGGCAGCTTGGCGGCTCCGTTTTCTGCCGACCACCTCAATCATCCCCAGCATGGCCTACACCAAGGCATGAAGGTTAGGAGTGCGAAAGGAAGGAATAGTGCATAGGAGATCAAGACAAGTACCTGACTGAGCCTCAAAAGGACCATGTTGTCAAGATCGTCCTCAGAACCGGCTGAGATGCGGGCCTGGTCTTCTGCAGGCAAAGTGATCAGGGTCTCCAGCTGCACGTCCCCTAGACTTTGAGGCGGAGGGGGAACGCAGAGCCTCGTCGAACGACCCCCGGTCGCCACCTCGTAGGTCACTGCGGACGACGAAGGAGGTCGCTCCGAGGCAACCCCCTGGGACGACCCAACGAGGTCGCCACCCGGCATCACGGAATGCGGAGGGGAATGGCCCGCTATTGTACCCGTTTCCAGGGCAGCATCATCCTGGTCCTCCACTACAATCACAGCCGGCTCTCGAGAAGGACTCTCCTCTCGGTGGGAGGAAGAGCGCTTGCCTTGGCCTTTCGCCTCTCTCTTCCTCTTCCTCCCTGCTGTGAAGCGACTGAGTATGAGATCGCCGTCCATCTCTTCTCTTGAATCTTGTAATTCCACAGGAAGCGGGGAAAATGTTTAGCCTTGAAAGAGATGAACTAAAACATTCTGGCAAAAGAAAAGATCAATTACCAAAAGGACCACAGTCAAGACCTTTCAGGAACGTCCTTTAGCTGGTCAGGCTGGTACCCCCGGGAATGTCCCTCAGCAAGTTGGGTTGGTGACGAAGCTCATCCTAGACGAACTCAAACCCCAACCGAGCAAGGGTTTCATCTGTCACCACCTCTTTGATGTTCATAAGGGTGGCACCAAATGGGGGGCATGGGATGCGACGGAAGGAAGGGCGTCTTGACCCTGTGAAAGGAGATTCGGGCCCCGTCGAGACGAAAACAAAGAAAGGTTTTCAGTCTTTGGTTGACCCCTTCATGTCACTAGCAAAGAGTTTACTGGACCTCTGGAGAAGGCTGGCATAGGACGCCCAATCCTTGTGGCCTTTGGTCAGCTTAAAAGTGAACAAGAAGTGGTCTAGGGTGGGCTTCACCCCTACATCCTTGCATCTGACCAAGTAACCGGTGATATACCGGTGAGAGTTGGGGACTAGTTGGCAAGGAAGGAGGTCCACCAAGTTGAGGAATTCAATCAATAGCAGATGGAGGGGGAAGCACAGCCCTTTCTTCAGGGACACCAGATGGACTGTGAAGAACCCCGAAGGAGCGTCTAGAGCAGTCTGGGTCTTGGTAGGTCTCAGGACCTCGATTGAGGGTCCAACCATATCAGTAGCATCAGCGAACCCCCGATCAGTAATCTGGCAATGGCACAATGCCATTATGTTCTCGTCCAATTCAACCCTCGAGCCCTCATCCGCCGGGGTCGGGGAAGGAAATTGCTTCCTCAATCGGCGCCGTTTCTGGCTAGGCACGGCCGACGGCGACAATCGAGACGATTGAGTGTGGCTTGGGGTGCGGCCAGAGGCCGAATGATCGGCTTGGCGAGAATTAAACGATGGGGTGGCTGAATCGGAATCAGAAACAATCATGGCAGTGAGAAAGGGAACTGACCTGGAGCGGAGGAAAAATGGGTCGGGTAACTGCGGAACCACGAACAGATGATGACGAGGAAGGCAAAAAAAAGATGGCATCTTGCGGCGGTTTTAACTGACAGGGGGAAGGCAAAGCAGCAGGTCATGATTTCCAATTTGTGGAGATCGTGCCCAAACGTCACACGGAACCCAAAGAGCGACCCGAATCCGTGCTGAAACGCCCACGTGGACCTCGTAAACTCCCCATCCCTCGACGTGGCCCAGTCGAGGAATGAGGAGTTGGGGGGCTTGTGATGGGCTGATATCCAACGGGCGGCCCAAATGAACCATTTAAACAACTTGGGTCAAGCGCTTGGAGAATACTCAGGCTTGGGTCGGCCCATGGAGTTAAGCCCGGCCAATTCTAGTCCAAGAACGGTTGGCAGAGTCAATCCAGAGAAGGAGACGGAACGGAATGACGGAGATGAAGCCGGAAAAAGAGGATCGCGCCATTGACGGGATAGACTCCATTGATTATGTATTACCTTAATTGTCTAGAGCCCATATATAAATAGAGGGAACCCAAAAGGGGAAAACTCAAGCTAAATCAAGCTAATAATACATACTCAATTCTCGAATTCTCGTTCTTAATTTTGTTCTTACGATCCGTTCTCTGAATTGGATCATTTGATGGATTTATTGTCCATCAATTGGTTAGAACGATCTTCTCCTTTCTTCTTCACCAACCACCCGTAATAATTATTATGGATAATCCAGTGATTATTACGGTCCGCCTTCTTACTACCAATCACCCAACCGCCATACGTTTCAAACCCATCCACCTTACCACCCACATCAGAACCCATATGATGAGGACTACCAAGTCAACAATGGGTCCGACTACTATCCTGACAGTTGTAGTTTTTCAGGTAGTAAACCTTCCCAGTAAAGGGTTAGTTTTCTCTCCGAGTGTCGTATCTCTCGAGGAGTGGATGAAGGGAATTAGTTTAACTACTCTAATTAGGCAAAGGTTAAGACTGATTTATGAAAGTCTTCTCGGAACGAATAAAAAGGGAACAGAGTAAAAATAATAAATAAATTAAGTTTACATAGTATAAGTATAGATCTAGACATAGGGTCAGGACATCATTTGGATCTATTTTATCATATTAAATTAAAAATTGTAATAATAATATTTCTATTACTACTCATCTATTTCTAGATTTGTACTTAATCCCTTGCACTTGAATATCATAGCCTTATGGCATACAATATTTTCTCAATAAATAGTTAATTAAATCTTTCGAGATTAATTAACTAATTAAGGCAAGAACAATTGACTAACCATTCCAACATTAATTTAACATTCAAAATATATAACCAAACTAGTCCGGACCCAGAGATCCGGACCCTAACTCATACTATGCAAACATGAATTAAAACAGAATTTTATTAAATAACTAATTAACTAATTAAGGCAAGAACAATTGACTAACCATTCCAACATTAATTTAACATTCAAAATATATAACCAAACTAGTCCGGACCCAGAGATCCGGACCCTAACTCATACTATGCAAACATGAATTAAAACAGAATTTTATTAAATAAAGTAAACTTACAGCTTCCGTAAAAGCGGAATAGAAAAGATTTGGAGTCAAAATTTCCGAAAATACTCTAAAACTACTACTAAACTAATATACAAAGTATTTTAAGCAATTGAGAGAGGGGAACCCGAAATTGGGTTGAGAATGGTTGATAAAAATGAGAAGAATCGTGCTGTATTTATAGGAACGAAGCCAAGGCGTCCAAGTCAAAGCGTCCAAGTCCAAGCGTCCAGATCTGGACGCCTGAGCTGTCCCGGCCAACCAGATTTTGCCACGTGTCATTCTTGGGCTGCAATTAAGCCAAAGCGTCCAACTCCCAAGCGTCCAAGTTGGACGCCTTGAGGCCTTGGTCCATTAGGCTTCGCGGCTGTTTCGTGATTTTGGCCCAATTTCGCTCCGTTTTGGCCCCGAACACTGTTTTTGACCTCCCGGATACTCGTTCAAGCCCGAATCTTGATCCCTTGATGAGTTTTTCCCTTTTTCTCAAGTATTTGAACATAAAATGGATGATTTATGATAATTTCATGTGGAATCCCATTTTATGACTCTTAGAACGAAAATGAGAGTTTTATCCATTAAAATCATATTTTATGAGATGATTAAATATTATTTACGTGCAATAACGTTTAGAATATGATGTAAATGATAAGAACGAAACGGACTTATCATATCCCTACCATGAGGAACCACCATATGACACCCCGTCTAGAAACTTTGGATATTCTCCATACCAAGACTCTGATGGGGAAGATTATTATGAACATCATGGTGATCATGATGACTATGACCGCAATGGGCTTATATACGACAATCAACCTGATCCTCTCGTCGAAGAAATAATAAGATTAGATTAGAAAATTTTCTATTTCGATGAAGTCTTGTTCACGGAAGGCTCATGGTATGAACCACCCTACTCCCGTGACTACACTCTGTTTGCTGAAGAACAAATTGAAGCAACAAGGTGGCAATTCGAGAAAGATCAAAACTTCTCGAATCAGTCCGGAAGGAAAAGGAGTTCGAAAGGAGATTACGTGAAGAATCAGAAAGGATGCAGAAAATGCTGGACGACTTCCAAAGAGAGAGACTAGAAGCCGAGGCTAAAGCTGATGAATTAGTCAATGATCTTTGTAAGGCTATTGAGCTTAAACGCTCCCTCCAATCTCAAGATCAAATGAGGGAGATTAATGCTCAAAAAGAGGCTCTAGAACCTAAGACCAACCCTGAACCATCCAACCATCAGGTTCCAGTTCTAGAAGATTCATCCAGACCAACACTACCACAGAACCCCGAAAGCATAACAACTCTCGCTAGAGCTACTATGGTGATGTTACCTGAATACCCTCCTAGCCAAGTCCCAACCCTCATAGTCATACATGAGGTGGAACCAATTTGGGGACCTGACTCAGAACCACCTACGCTCGTTCAAGAAAAGAAGGAGGAGGAAGTTTTGTCTATGGCAATAAATGACCATCTCCTTAATTGTGTTAAAGACACACCTCCAGAGGAACCTGTTTTGGAGGAGATAGAGCCCACTACCTACCCCCAAGATTCCAACGTTCAAGAGTCTGAGGAGGAATCTATAGACGAAGAAATACCTAGCACAGAGGAACCAATAACGTCTATAGATAATCATGCTTCATCAGAAGACTTAGACCAAATTTTCTTTGACTCCCTACTTGACGGGTGTGACTTTGTCTGCCCGAAGGATGGTTGACACTTAAAGAGTTGGGATGAACTTCTGGTGAGTGATGACGAGGACTCTTCCATGGGGGTAAGTACGGTCGTAATCATCAAACCACAAATAGATAGTCAGCCTATTGAAGATAAAGAAGAAATCAATTTCACAATCAAGGCTAATGATGTGGATCTACTGAGGAGACTTCCGCCACCACCCACCTATACAAAGTCTCCTCCATATATCCTGTTGCCACCAAGCCGTAGGGATGAGTCAAGGATCCTGGACCTTGACCGAGCAAAATTTCAAACAAGGTGGCATCAACAGAGAGTCAAAAGGGCCAAACTTTATGACTCACGGATCGGAAAGTCGCGGAAAAAGTGGGCGAGCGTCAAGCTACGGACGTTAAAGAAGTGCTTAACGGGAGGCAACCCGTCATTCAAATAACTAAAATAATTAAATAAATTCAATAGTTTTATTTGTTAGTTTTTGAGGTTATGCTTGCCGCACCAGTTTTGGGGGCAAGAGTTATTTTGTTTGTTGTCTTTGCTTTTGCAGATGAGAGAATTGTAGGGCATAGCTTACAGTGGGAGTGAAGAAGAGGTCTCACCTAGGGAAAACACAAGGTTTCTGCAACCTTTGAGGCTTCTTGATCCAACAGTCCTGGTTGAAGTTGGCTATTGAGAGAATATTGACTTCCTCAGTAAAGTCTCTTTTTCTCTACTATTTTGAAAATGATTTGGATGGTTGATGATTTTTATTTTGGAATTTCACAATTTGACTCTTAAACCCATTTTGAGAAAATTTTATGCATTATTTCATATTTACATGTTATGGTTATCAATTATTTCAATCTTCATCGTTGAATGTTGTAAGTATTTAGATAACTTAGTAATTGCATGTGAGCATTTCAACCATTAACTCCAATTCCAGAATACTTTTAACCACGAGGGCGTGGTTCCGTTTAAGTGTGAGGAGGCAAGAGTTTCTAGTTGAAATGATCTTTTTAGGAATTGTTTTGTCTATATATTTGTAGGAAAAGATTTTTATAGAATAGTCATCAATTTTAATTGTTTGATTAATTAATCTTTAGTTATCACCCGTAAAAATTGGAAATTTTTAACTCTTTGTCAAACTTTTATTTTTACTATAACCTTTTGGGAATGTTTTCTAAAATGGTTTGGGATAAATTCACAATTTATTAAGAGTTTTTTTAGATCAATTAATTTTTAAGTGCTTTATTGAAAATCTTTTTGCTGATGCTCTTATGAGTATTTGTTGTTTCTTAAAAACAGTTATTTTCAAAGTATAAGGGGTGATGTTTCAAAGCATACTTTGGTGAGACCGAGATTCTTGTTTTAGCCAAAAAGCAATTGGTTCTAGGTCAACTGATGAGGCGTGGTGAGTATGCCGAAAAGCACGTGGTTCTAAATTGCGTGATGAGGCCTTTTGAGTGTTAGAGTCAAAAAGCATGCGGTTCTATGAGACTTCCAAGAGTGAATACCTCAAAAGCTCGTGGTTCCATTGTTGTACCCGAGACCCGGGGTCTTATTGAGTAGCTATTTTGTGGCGGATTTGAGGAAGGAAATGGATGATAGAACTGAAGGGATGAAATATACTCAGAAACGGAGGCAGTATGAACTATAGATTTGAGGTCAATTGGAGAATTATTGTTGCGGAATATATTTTTAAGAAAAATACGGCGTGGGCCGATTATTTTGTCTGAAAACTATGTTTTTAATTTATTTATTTATTTACTTATTTGAAATTCTTATAGTGCAGATTAGCATTTAAGAACCTATTTTTTAGGACTGGAAAAAAAGAGGTGGATGTTAGAAGAAAAATGGTAGAAACTGGAAGAAACTAGAAGAAATTGTGAGAATTTAAAATAAACTGAAAAAACTAGAAAAATTAGAAAATATAAAAAACTTTAAAGTTTTGTTTGTGTATTTTTATATTATTCTCATTATAATTCTTGTTGTTATAGATTATTTGTTAGGGGTGAACCAGGGGTCTTATCAAGTTGCTAATTTTGTGATGAATTTGTGGAGGAAATGAACACAGAAGTATGTGGGGCGAAATATGGGAGGTGTTTTTTTGGAGTTCTTTTTGGTGTTTTTTTTTTGTGAAGAAAAAGAAGAGGTTTAGGAAGAGAATATGGGGAGGTATGAAATGGAAGAAAATCAGGGGTGGATAAACCAAGTTGGTATTTAAGAGATATTACACACTCTTATCCTAACTTGGGGTTTGAATCTAGAATTTCATTAAGATATGACACACTTAATCAAATATCTAGAACCTAAAACTCACACTTAAGATAACCACTCTTAAGATATAGAATTAGGAATTTGGTTAAAATAGCATCACACTATTTTATAAATACTCAAAGAGTAAAAGGGAGTTAATATTCAAGGTTGGTGTTACAATAGCCATAAGGCCTGAGTTATATAGGCAGGGGAAGGGGGAGATAATTCACAATACATTGAATGTAAACTTCAGGGAAGCTTCCTTGCAACAATCTCTTCCAAGGCATGGGGTATTGGCCATTCATTCATGTCTCCTTAGTGGAATAAAATCAGGGATGGGGTTGGGGTTGTGGGGGTTTGTGTTTTGGTTCCTAGTGGTTGTATCCTGGGTTTTGTGGTTATTATTTAGGTAAAAATGGGGGTTGTTTTTGGTCATTAAAAGGGGACAGGGCTGGGTATTATTTATGGGTATTTTGGAGTTATGGCTTTGGGTTATTGTGAGGGAAACATGGGCAGGAATGGTTGGCTAGTGGTGGGTCAGGATTTTGGCCCTTTGTGGGTGTTTATGTTGGGATTGTGAGGTTTAATTGGCCAGGAAATAAAAGGAAGGAGAGAGGGTTTTATTTGTTAATTGGAAAGGCTTGGAAGAAGAAAAATAACACAAACAAAAGGTTTTGGTTTACACATTCTTATTTTTGGCCAGGGGCTTAAATAAGAGTAGGAAAAACTTTATTTTGAAATGAAGTAAATGGCAAGGAGTTTTGGATATTTTGGGTTGGGTTGGACGGAGTGGGAGTTGGCCTGTGGAACCCTCGGGTCCGAAGCTATTCTGCCCTCTTGGGTTGAAGGACTCGGAATTCTCACTAAAACGGATCATAATGCTTGAACTTAAGTCCTCTGGTTTTTCCGAGGGTGTGGGACATGGGGGAGGGTATGATAGGGCCAGGCCCGGATATAACATTATTATTATTATTATTATTATTATTATTATTATTATTATTATTATTATTATTATTATTATTATTATTATTATTATTATTATTATTATTATTATTATTATTATTATTAAAGAAAAGAATTAAGTTTAAGAAGAAGAAATGGAGAGATATGAAATGGGAAGAGGTAAAATGAAGGGATAAACCAAGTTGGTGTTTAAGAGATATTACACACTCTTATCTTAACTTGGGGTTAAGTCTAGAACTTAATTAAGATATAACACACTTAATTAAATATCTAGAACCTAAAACTCACACTTAAGATAACTACTCTTAAGATATAGATTTAGGAATTTAAATAGCAAACACAACAAGTGTATTACTAAATGAAAAATGGAATTACAATCTGAGTCTCACAAAATGGCCTAAGGCCGAAATAAATACACACACATAGGGGGGAAACTTCCCAGAAACATCCACTCACAAATCACAAGAATAATATCCATTTGTTTATGTTTTCTCAATGGAATGAAATCAGGGATTTGGTCTTTGATTTTCATGGCTGGTGGCTTGTCCTTTAGTGAGGAAAATCACAAGGAAATAAGTGATGATTCTTGGGAAATAATGGGGGACAAAGGGGATGGGTGATGGTTGGTTTTATTGGCCTTATATTGGGTCATTCATGGAAGGTATGTGGGGACTGATTTGGTGGGTGGAGTGTCAATAAACTCACAAAAGTCTTTTGTCCTTTTGTTATTGTTTATTCAGCCTAGGTGGGAGACACAAGGGGGACAATGGTTGGTCAATGTTGGGGAATAAAAGAGGGGTTGTTTTTGG